GATCGCTGCTCACAATGCACAGTTATACTAAAATACTGGAGACAAAAATGCATTACAATGTCTTATTTTGGCAACACAAATAACGTGAGCCCCCAAGAAGGGGATATGGATGCTGCGTTAGTTTAACTCATTAAACAGTCAAGTTACACAAATCACAGAAATGACCCTGTTATCTACCCCAGATTCTAAAATATAAGAAAATTTACGTTTAAAACGGCTAACTAACAAACAATGCCATTCTTACCTCAATTTGCTTGCTAACAAGTGGTGCAGCTAAATGGCCTCGAGATGCTGTCAGTGGTCTGTCGCGTTATCTGAAAAGAAATACTGTTAGCACTCTGGCAATGTTGAGAAATGTACTAATATTATTCTGAATGGTGAGAAACAAACTAAACATGAAAATTGGTCAATTTAAGTGGTTATAAAATATACCTGTTTGAACACTGTCCTCTCCTCGTGGTCGTCCGCCATTAATCAAAAAGTAAATAATGTGCAAGGACCAGAAATTGGATCAACTCATCACCAGTGTCAATTATGTCAACTCGCTGGAATTACACTGACTCCGACCACTGATTTACACTGCAAGTGTTAATGCCATTCAAATCAACACCAGAATCAACACTTTTTAACTCTGATAAATTAACACCATTAAAAACAACTCTAAACAACACTGGATATTTTGTTGTGTAGTAGGTCACAAACGAAGAGTAGCATGTTCACAACGGTCAGACACAAGACTAGACACGAGGGGAACTTAAAAAGAGGGAGAATTAAGGAATTAACAAGCCACAGGTGTGACGGCAGCTAAAGTAGTTAATAAGATAACGATGGGGAGGGAAACCACGAAGACAATGAGCACATGGCGAACTGTCAAAACAGACAAAAACAACAACAACCTGCTGATCAGACCGAAGTCATGACATATATATATATATATACAGTATATAAGTTGCCCCATGTATCATCAGCCTTAGTTGAGTCTTCTGTTTTGATATTTTAGAGTTTTACCCCTTCACTTTTTTTTTTCCTGCGTCATGGCTGATTTGTAAATTGTAGCCACCACCCATAAAATTGCTTTATCCATTCTCATTCATTTCCTATGGTGGTCATTTTTGACCGCAAACAACTCGGTTTTTTTTTTTGTTTTTTTTGGTATAACCATTTAGCTATTTAGAATCAAGTCCAATCAAGTTTTTGTGTGTGTGTTCACATAGCAAGTGCTGCTGCAAGTCACCAGGTTTCGTACCATTCTGATGAAGTTAAATTTGTGAAAATTCAAAACACTTTTTTTCTATTCTAAAATGACCAAACACAAGAGAGTGAAGACATCTTTTATGGCTAACTGTCATACGTGTTCATGCTTGGAGTGAATGTCGGCATGTTGCGAATCATGATGCAAGCATGTTGTGAAACGTCACAATGTGGAAACACAGAGGACATTTTACTTTTCGCATGAGCTTTACAACGTGCTTGCATCATGCTTCACAAAATACTGGAGTTTGTCAAGTGAAAGCACATATGACAGTGAGAAGCAATGGTTTATTAGTTTATAGTAAAAAGTTAAAAATTTTAAACATCTATTGTTTTGCTTCAGAGGACATAGATTCATCCACTGGGATCATATCCATTCCTGTCGTGTTCACTGTGTAGTTTTTGAAGAGTCAACTTTGAGGGTCCTGCACACTTTATACAGACTCGGAAATTGATTATTTTTCTAAAAATATTAGTGTTCATCTGAAGAAATAAAGGTGTGTGTGTGGCATGAAGATGAGTAAATGATGAAAGAATTTTTATTTTTGGGTGGAGTTTCCCTTTAACACATACTAATAAAACAAATCACCATTTCATGACAAATGTTTCTTCAATGGTATTCACTTGAATGTCTGTACATAATAGATTGTTTATCTGAATTTAACAGAGAGCAGAAGAGAAAGAACACACTTTCAGGTTTTGTTTCGACACCGAGTCTGATCCAGTTTTTGTGTCACGTAATACATCCATGACTGTGCTTGATGCCCTTGGTGCATGCGACACTTTCTGTGTGAATAAGAATGTAAGCGACGAGAAGAAAGAAATAGTCATCCTGAGAGCTGATGGAGCTGCTGTGAAGACAGACTTCCCCTGCTGTCTTATTAAAAAACATGAGCTCTTAAAAATAACCTTCATCAAAAAGGAAAAAATAACTGTTACAGCACAAGAGACACAAAAAAGACTTTCAAGGACAGACCTAGTCACATTTTACATTAAAACGACAGGAAAGAAGTATATGAAATTCATAATGAAAAATAATGAACTGAGAGACAAAACGGAGTATGTTTGTGTTTATGCATTCAAAGGAGAGGAAGTTGAAACTGCTCTTATGCGTGATGGACGATTCAGTGATACAATTTACCAGAAACTCTGTGTCCTCACTCTGGAATCTAGAGAAGGAGAAAAGATGAAAAAATCAAGGTATGAAATGGCCAACCTTGTTGAGCATCTTGAGAAGAAGACATTTCAGATAATTGCTATTGCTGACAAACGGCCAGATAACCAAAAGAAACAAACTCAAGTCAAGACTGCTGATTCAGCACAAAATGACCCAGTCCAGCATCCCAACAGCACTGAACAAAAAACACTTCAAGAGAGAGAGACTAATTTAGCAGGTCCTTCAACTACAGGGCATGCAACACCAAATACTTATGGAAATGCTACTGGTGATTCTGGAAATTCTTTTTCCACTGACATTCAGAAGTTTCTCGAGTCTCTGTGTGAAGATGTGTTGAAGAAGCTAAAACAGCGAAAGAACCCCCAAATTCAAAAGTTCATCCAAGAAGAATATGACAAAGGTGTTCAATGTTTCACTGAGGTGAACAAAGTGAGGCAGATCATGACACTCTCTGACTCTGTGTGTATGATTAAAGTTGAGAATTCTGCCAGTGGAACCGGCTTCTTAGTCTTTGACAGATTCATCCTCACTAATGCTCATGTTGTTAAGGACTGTGTTCATTCCCCACCAGAGCATCCTCACCTAATTAAGCTTTCGAAGACTCTGACGGCTGTATTTAATTATGAAGTTTCAGGATCTGATGCAAAAGTTCTGTCAGTAAAAGATGACGTTGTTGCTTATGGTTATGAAACGAATGACAGGCGCAGATTCCATGATTTTGCTCTTCTTGAATTGGAAGCTGCACCTGAAGACTGTACTGAATTGTTTGAATGCTATAAGCATGTCTTCCCTCCTAACCGTGGTGGGATCTACATTGTGGGACATCCAGATGGTAACATTAAGAAGATGGACCCTTGCTTCATCATTGGGAGTGAGAATCAATTACAAAATATAAATCAACACATATCCGAGAATGTTTCCTGTCCATATGTAACATGGCAATGTTGGCCGTATCTACATCAGAACCGGATCACCTATAACTCTTGTTTATTTCATGGATCTTCTGGCTCCCCGGTGTTTGATGAACACTGCTGTCTGATTGGTATGCATTCTGGTGGCTTTGACTACACTGAAGTTGAGAAAACTAGGAGTGTTATTGAATTTGCCTATTCCATGCCATCCATCATGGATGCTATTGTCACACAGGTCAAGACAAGAAGTGACATTTTAAAATTACTCTATAAATTTAAATCTATACATGAAAATTTTGACCTTGGGCCCCTTGAGGATACATGTGGAGCAAACGTGCCTGTAAATGAAGAAGAACAGAGTGAGGAAGTTAAAGCAATGGAAGTAGACTAATGAAACTCCTCGAGTCCTTGAGTACTGATTGATTTCTGTAGCTACCTGGGAAATATCTGTCAGAGACTTGTCAATACCATTGTGGATTTTTATTTTCATATTTTCATGTGAATGGTGTGTCCCTGAAATCATTCTAAAAATCTGAAAAGATTCTGCGTGATCAGCTTAATTTACTGGGCATAAAGCAGGAAGTGAACCTCTCAGAAAATCTTCAAAAGGTTCTTCAGAGCAGAATATGAGTGTAAAAGGGTTCACTGAGGTGAAGAATCAAAGCAGCAGCCTAAAAATCTGACCGATATTTGTCAATGTCATTATGGGACAGAATGATATTCAAATGATTTTTAGAGATGATTCATATGCAGAAGATCTTATTTTTAATAATTGGTTATAGAATAAAGCACTATTAGGCCTGCTGGGAACTGAAGGATTTTCTGATAATGATTTGTAAAATCTTATGGTTGCTTGTGGGTCTGTCTCATGCCAAGAGAGCAAAACGGTGAACATTATTCATTTGGCAAAGACCAAAGAAGTTATAGTTCAATCTTTATTGTATATTCTTTACATTTTTATTCATATATACTTGTGTATTCATATACATGCTCATTTAACAAATCATTCACTCATATATTCTTTATACTCATTTTATATATTCTTTTTTACTTTACATTTATGTTGATGTTTTAAAGTGATTTACATTGATTGTTTTGTTTTTGTTGTAAGGGATCATGTTCAAGCTTCCATTTTAACCATCTTTGAATCACACAAATACACCAAATTAACCAATATGAACTATTGTAATGAGAAACAACAATACACAGCTACAATCAAATGTGTATCTCCACTACAATAAATACATTTAGAATTACCATATTTGAGTTTATTGAAGGGTTGTTACCCTCAGATCAGTGTTCTGTTCATGATTCATTTAGATGTAAATGACATTTTAATATACCATATACGTTTATTACATTATTTTTTTATTCCATTAGCATGTACCTTGCCTGAAGCATGTATTGGTGTTGGTTCGTGTTGTTTTGATTGTTTATGATGTTGAGAGGCTTCTAAGAGCATCAGTTTGTTGGGCTTGGAAAATTTTGTGAATGTCCTGTACATAAAAAAAAGTAATCATAATAAAAACACTTAATTTTTAAAAAATAATCTTACTGAACCTCAATTTATCCTATATTTCCTGTTTCAATATAAAGTGACAGTTCATCCAAACCAGTATAATTTTCTGTTATGCAGAACACATGAGAAGATATTTTAAGTTAAAGATCATTGTTATGTTATACTCACAGGAAGCAGGTACTGTGAGGATCCTTCCATTAGGTCCTGCAGAAAGGGATGCTGTATGGTGGCCGAGAAGTGCAAAGCAAATCACAATTCTGAAAACAAAATAACAAATTACAAACGCAAGTCTAAAAAACAAAATAACAATTCAGAAAACACAACAACAATTCAGAAAACATTATAACAAGTCAGAAAACACAATGAAAAATTTAAAAAAATAAGTCAGAAAACACAACGACAAATCCGAAAACAAATTAACAAGTCAGGAAACACAACCACAAATAAGACAAACCAGAAGAGGTAGGTATAGTTTGAGACCGCGCCATTGGTGGGTTCGATCCCGCCTTTTGCCGAACTTTTTTTTTCTCCCTTTTCAAATCTCGTATCACATCGTAAAGGCATTTATTTTCATTAAAAACTAAGGAAATAATCAAAAAGTTGTATCGGGCAGGGTTAGGGTAGGTGTAGGGAGGGCTTTATTGTACCAATAAGGTGGCATCCATTTAATAATTAAAATTATAATTTACACTCAATACGTTATTATTGCATACTGTTTTATAATGTACTACAATACTGAAGTGCAGATAATTGCCATTATTTGCAACAAGTAGTATACTTGATAGTAGAAATCCTGCTATTTTAACAGTGTAAATAGGTATTTGCATTTAGTGTAAATAGCATATTGCTAAAAATACTGCTATTTTCACTTAGTGTAAATAGAATCCATTGCTAATACGAGATGTGAAAAGGGAGGGGAAAAAAGTTCGGCAAAAGGCGGGATCGAACCCGGGTCAATCGCGCCAAAAATCCAAGGGCACACACTTATCCATCTGCGCCACTGGAGCTGATGTTTTACACCACTTTTAACTAAATGTAAATATACACCCCGTATTTTTTATTCCACAGTAAGGGCAATTTACAATACATTTAAACTGAGCTACTTTAATACCATCCCTGAACTTTCTACCACGACTCTGCTGTTCTTCGGCTGGTTCTTCCCTGTATACGTTGATTGACAGATGTCTCGTCCAGTCAGCCGTTAGTAATCCCAAACCAATGGCGCTGTCTCAAACTATACCTCCCTCTTCCGGTTTGTCTGATTTGTCGTTGTGTTTTCTGACTTGTTATTTTGTTTTCGATTTTGTCATTGTGTTTTCTGACTTGTTATAGTGTTTTCTGAATTGTTGTTGTGCTTCCTGAATAGTTATTGTTTTTTTAGACTTGCATTTGCGTTTGTAATTTGTTATTTTGTTTTCAGAATTGTGATTTGCTTCGCACTTCTCGGCCACCGTAATGCTGGGAGAGTGGAGAAAGGAATCTTCTCCTCACCCTTAAAACCCAACTCCTTAAACACCTTCAGCAGCTCCTGAACACACAACACCACATTAAATACAGCTTCATGCAGACCCTTTACACCATCTACTGATCTACAGAAACACACGAATCTGTTCCAAAAACTAAGTGAAATATTCCAGTGAACATCTTCTGGCACAAAGATTACACAAATAGACCTACATTTATGAAACTGTTATAAATGACTAACACACACACACTAAGTATTTTTGCCATCTTGCCATTTTAAATAGAAATGCTTCCTATTTGTTTATATTTTTCATTAAGTGGTTCAAATGAAGGATTTTTTTATTTTGGTTTCTGTTATGTTCTACCTCTCTAAATTCATCTCTGCTCCTGTGGTTGGGCTGGAAGTGGTTCAGATGTGAGGAGATGTGATCATCTCCATTACTCGGAACTCTGAGCACGTCATCGACAGACACGGCCACTTCTTCAGACTCCACCCCTCTCTCCTCCTCTTCATCAGCGTCACACTCAACTCCAGCAACCTCCATATACAGCACAGACTACAGCAGGTTTGAAACAAAACCAGAGTGAACCACATGAAAACCCATTTCAAATTTCACAGTTTAAGTAATACATTATTTTTATGCATTACAGTAATGAGAAAAAAAGTAAATTAAACAAGATTAATGTGCGTAATTGAATTATAAATGATGTCACAATGCAAATAAAGGTTCTAAAAATGACAAGTTCTCTTCAAGCTCTTCAGCTCAGAAGAGTCTGTTAACCATGTCATCATACTGTGTGTGTACCTGTGTGAGGGGGCTGGTGTGTTTATAGTGCAGTGTGTGTCCGATCAGGAGGCTGAGCGCTCTGGTGAAGCCTTGAGCTGGTTCAGGATGGCAGCAGAAATACAGCAGCATGCTCAGATAGTCCAGCATCAGTGGAGAAGTGTGTGTGCTTGCAAACAGACTGAAGAAAAACTACACACATAAACAAGAAGAAAAAAAACCACATGCATGTTCATATACAGATTAACTGATCAGAAAAGCATTTGCAAAACATCATAGATGCAATCAAAGTTAAAGAAATAGTTCACTCAAAAGTGAAAATTTACTGAGAATTTGATTACATTCAAGGTCAAACATGCAGCTTTTCGCTTTTCACTTCACAAGATATTAATTGATGGACTGGAGTGGTGTGGATTACTTGTGGATTATTGTGATGCTTTTATCAGCTGTTTGGACTCTGACGGCACCCATTCACTATAAGGGATCCATTGGTGAGCAAGTGATGTAAAGCTATATTTCTCCAAATCTGTTCCCATGAAGAAACAAACTCATCTAGATCTTGGATGGCCTGAAGGTGAGAAAATCTTCAGCAAATTTTCACTGCATTAAAGGGGTGGAATTATGAGGAATCAAGTTATTCTTGATCTTTTGAGATCTTTAAGAAGCTTGATATACTATGGAACCACTTTGTAAGTTCACAATACATCTTTGCAAAGAGGCTGTTACTGAAGGATGGGAGACGAGATAAAAGGAATAAATTGATATGAAAAAAATCCTTTAAACTGCTGCATTACCTTCTTAAGATTAGCTAGTCTGTCATAGGGCAGAGGTTCAGTTGGGTCATTAGGGACAGGAAGATCTCTTACTGGGAAACCACAATTCAACCTGATTATAAAACAAAATATGTTAAATTGAACTTGTAAGCACATATAAATGTAGCAAGATTATATAAATGAGGCTTGCTTTCATTCATTTTAATTGTATAAACAGCATGCAGTTGGAATAAAATTAACTATAGAACCATATTTGAACTATTAAAATGCTGTAAGAGTGATTGTACTACAAAAATCTGTTTGATTTTATAGGTCTGTGTGTAGTTAAATATTTTAGTGATGCTCTATGAGTGTAATAAACCTGTGTGTATTGTTCTTGTCTGGTTCCTGCTGAGTCTGAAATGGAAACGGCCACAGCAGAGCTGCACTGAGCAGAAACTGACGCCAGTCCAACATCTCTAACTCACACACCAACTCATCAACCTACACACACAATAGCACATGTTATCATGTGAGTACAAACAGGCTTCGGCAAGATTTTGTGGGCAAAAAGGTCCATTGTCAATAATGTATAGCGAATGAATGAATGAAGCTCTTTCAAACCAAGCAGCTTTCTGTTGGTCAGTGTTGTGAATTCAAGTGACAAACTTGAACCTGTTGTGAAATTTGTGTGGGGATTCCTAGTTGTGTGGATTCCTATTGAAATTTCAACCATGAAAATTTCCATACAACAGTAAATGTGACGCATCTCAAGGCATCATGTCATTTGACAGGATTCTTTTTTGTCAATTACATTGCCTTAACTTAGCTCCTAATAGGATCTCAAGATTGTGTGTTCTTCACGTTTTGTTTAGTTTGGAGTTCCATCAAACTGATTTTCAATCGCAAATGAATCTTAAATGTATAATTTTCTGAATATCATTTATGCTAAATATATTAATGATATTAGTTACTGTAATTTGACACTTTTTATCATTATTGATGGTGTAGGAAACTTTTTCCTCGTCGAAGCAGAGACCAGGAGACGTTGGGATCTTTCATACAGAAGTTACTCTTTATTGAGGACTCGCTGTGCGTCGCTGCAGTCATCCAAGTCTGACTATAGCTCAGCACAGTAGAGTTTATACCTTTCAAGGGGGAGGGATACATAGAGGTGGAGACAATCTAAACAAAGCATGCAAATGCAGTACAGGAATCAGCCTGTTACCGGAATTTTCCCAGCCCTGATCTCATCGGCATAACAGTTTCATTCAAATGCATAGGTGCTAATCCAATCAGCCATTGGACCCTGCCCAATGATCAGGAAGTGCATAAAGACAAAAGGTTAATGTCTCAAGACACCTGGGCTGCCTGACTTGATCTTCTTAGAATGTCATCATCTTTACCTCAAAATGTAAAACACAATGTACATAACTTTTTCAGTTTATATACTATTACATAGGAACCTAGATATAACATTTTATAAATTTGTAATCTAACAGATGGCATTAACGTTACAATCATATCAGATCAAGTCTACTTTTATAACTCAAATATGATCACTTGACAAGCAGAGTCTCTTTTCCTGTTTCGAGGCATTGGAAGTAACCAAGCCAAAGCAATGGAGACGCTTTTAAAATGAATACATTTCACACACTTCCTTATGCAGTGGTTGG